CAGAAATATTTGTTTTTTTATGTGGGATTCAGACTAGTCTAGTTCTGTTGTAAAATGGTTGAACATTTTTGAATACATTTTTCAAATTTTAAAGCTATCACTTATTTTAGTTCTACTTTACTAGCTAAGTAACTACACCAAACTTATACTTTAGTGTAAACCTTATTTTTATTTTTTTTCTGGGGCAAGTTGTCAAAGTGTTTTATATCTTGTAATTTGGTAGAATGTATATAAAGTAATACGTTCATAATTTTATTAAAATTAAAATTTTGCTGAAAAGTCAACTGTATAATACTGTGAGTAGAATTTTCCATTTGTTTTACTTTAAGGTTTTTACTTTAATATTAATTACAGTAAACAGTGTGACAACTAGCCCCAGTCTGCCTTACATGTGCAGTATAAGGAAGGGAAGTGTGTATTTTATAACTGCTCATTTTAATTACATCTACATGTGTGTGAATATGTGGTTTTAATGGATGTGTTTTGCTGTATAAAACATTTAAGTTTATGTGTGTGTGTGTGTGTGTGTGTTGAGTTCAGTTGTTTGCAAGACTTGCATTTTTCTTGTTTTTGCTCTCTTCTTATAATCTAACTTTGATCCATAATAACAGTAATGTTGTTTGAATGTTTGAATTAAGTTACAGCATTTTTACAGCATAATTTACCAATTAAAAATGTTACCATCAATTTTAAATTCTGAAAAAAATGAAGAAAAGTCAAGCCACATTTATTTCTATAGTGCCTATACAGTGCAGAATCTATATATAGTGCTTTATACAGTGACGAACGTTACAAAGCAGTTTCACAGAAGAATAATGATGTCCTTTCTTTGTGTTTCTGTCTCATTTTACAGCACAAATATGGAAATATTAAGAATATATTAAGTCTTGTTTATTGAAAAATATTTATAAAATTAAGTGAGTTTGTGCTTAAAATTGCAAGAACAAATTTCTTGTTCTTGTGTGTGTGTGTGTGTGTGTGTGTGTGTGTGTGAAACATGTTGACGCCACCCAACCTGTAAAAAACCCTTTTTATCGTGCCTGCTCTTTCTTTGTTTTAATTTGCTCAGAGTGTGTGAACTTGTCTTTATTTGCTCACTTGCATGTGTGTGCATGCGTGTGTGTGTCGGTGTGGATGTGTGTGTTCCCGAGGGTAATGTACTTTTGTAATTACTGGTTACTGTTCCTTTTCTCTGAACGCAGTCTTGATTAAACTGAGTGTTAAATGAAAGTGCTCTGGCATTCTGATCAGGTAACGACATGAATGAGTGTGTGTGTGTGTGTGTGTGTGTGTGTGTGTGTGTGTGTGTTATTCTCTTGAGTGCCTTAAACCTGCTAAGGCGGATCTTTGTGGACCATTGATCTACATGTCTCCTGATTTGATGGGCCGCTCAAGAGGTTCTCACACACGTGCGCATTAACCCCATTACCTCGCTGACGGGCTGTAGCCTTTATATATAATGCACTATAAGATATTCATAATGTGCTTTTATAATGCATTATCATTTCATAAATAATTGTAACCAAAGTTAAAATGCATTATAATATGTGATATTATATAATAGTTACATAATGTTTTTTATACTTCAATATTTCACATTTAATTTGATGTGATGCTGTTGTAATTGTTTGTGAAATTCTAAGTGCAATTGAAATTCTACATGCAATTTCTAAGTGAAAATTGATTTTTCGGGGCACTTATTTAGCGTCATAAATTGTGCGTGCGCTTGAGGGTTTTACGGACATAATGAGATTAAAGCCTGCAGGGAAACATCGATCACTAATGTACTCGGACTGTGTTTTAGCTTCGATCTGTCAGCCAAAGAGGAGCCGTTTTTCGAGATATCAAATCTGTCAATGCAATGTTAACAAATGAAACCTTATTATAAAATATTACTGTTATTTTATTAATCACTTGGCAAATTATTTTAAGTTAAAAACAAGAAAAAGTAAAAAAAAACTTCTTGTTTTCAGTACAAATATTCTACAAACAATCTTAAATTAAAATATAAAAAGAGTTACTGTTATTTTATTAATCTCTTGGCAAATTATTTTAGGTTAAAAACAAGAAAAAGTAAAAAAAGTCTTGGTTTTCAGTACAAATATTCTACAAACAATGTTAAATTAAAATATAAAAATTAAGTGACTAAACACTTAAAACCAGAAAACAATTCAATTCAAATAATCTCTTTGTTGGTTTAACCTTAAGTGCGCTTAATTAAAATAAAAATAAAAAAAATCAATAAACAAGCCTTAAAGGGTTAGTTCACCCAAAAATGAAAATTAAGTCATTAATTACTCACCCCCATGCTGTACCAACCCCGTAAGACCTTCGTTCGTCTTCGGGACACAAATGAAGATATTTTTGATTAAATTTGAGAGCTGTATAACTACCACATTGGCTCCTAAGGGACTGCCTCTTGACGGCCCAGAAAGTCAATGAAGAAAATGTTTAAATATCCCAAGTGACTACCGTGGCTCAACTATATGTTTATCAAGCGACGCGAATACTTTTTGTGCGAAAAAACAAACAAAAATAACGAGTTTATTCGACTATTTCTTTTCTTCCTTGTAGGCCAGAACGAGACTTCCTTAGATTTCCACGACGCATGCGCGAGAATTGCGATCTGAAGTGGTGTAAGCTGATGTGAGCAGATCGCAAATCTCGCGCATGCGTCGTGGAAATCTAAGGAAGTCTCGTTTCTGGCCTACAAGGAAGAAAAGAAATAGTCGAATAAACTCGTTATTTTTGTTTGTTTTTTCGCACAAAAAGTATTCGCGTCGCTTGATAAACATATAGTTGAGCCACGGTAGTCACTTGGGATATTTAAACATTTTCTTCATTGACTTTCTGGGCCGTCAAGAGGCAGTCCCTTAGGAGCCAATGTGGTAGTTATACAGCTCTCAAATTTAATCAAAAATATCGTCATTTGTGTTCCGAAGACGAACGAAGGTCTTACGGGGTTGGTACAGCATGGGGGTGAGTAATTAATGACTTAATTTTCATTTTTGGGTGAACTAACCCTTTAATATCTTCAGTTATTTTTCTTCTCAAGTAAATGTATCTTGATTTAAAAATGTACTGGGAAACAGTTTTTTTGTAGTGCATTTATTAAGAATATTATTTCTTGCAAAGCTTTTAATAACAGACTGAAACGGTCTGATGTGATGAATGTTGAAGTCTCCTCAGAGATCAATAATCAGTGTGTGCTGAAATGAGCTGTCGCTGAAACACATGATGATCAGATGTGCACATGACCCTGGCCTGAGGTCAACATGAGAACGATTGCATGATCATATTCTTTGGAAACTTCCTTTCGTCACATGACGGTTGAACAAAAATCATTGTGACTTCTTCAAAGAACATTTGCTGATTTTTTAATAATTTTTGCAGGTAAATGTCATTTACAGGTTATAAGACATATGAACTGTTATAGTGCTTTGTTTTTTGCAGAATTGTGATGTTGATTGATCTTGTTTATTTACCAAATGGATAATTGTAATCTCTTTGAGATGGCGTACCGTCGGATCATCTAGTTTGAATAAGAGGTAGAGTTGCGTGTCATCAGTGTATATTTCTGAATGACAGACACTAGTGATGTCATGTAGATGGAGAAGAGAAGCGGTCCCAGCACTGAGCCCTGAGGCACTCCCGTAGCTAGATGATAACAGTGATGGATAAACCATGTTTCTGATTGACAGATCCTACTAATAACATGTAGATGGAGAAGAGAAGTGGTCCCAGCACTGAGCCCTGAGGCACTCCAGTAGCTAGATGTTGGTTCTTAGACACCTCAGCCCTGCACGATTACGAGAGGAGTACCAACCTCAGAGAAGGATGAGAGTAGAGGCTGGAATACAGTTCATGGCTTTTGCTCAGATCACAAGCTTGGCACTTTACACGTGATCGTGTTGAGATATTACGATATACTCGTGGATGCCATGCATGAAATAAATATGTCAGAAAACCCAGAATGCATCACTTGTTTCTGTTTAGTGTATTGTGTAGTGTATGATCCCCAGTTTTTTTTCTCTAACCACTTACAGTCAGCAAGCCTGCTGTTTGAAAACCGTTCAGATTTTAGGAGTCGTGTCGTGTAATCCAGCCTTAATATATCCAAATCCTCCTAAAATGGCTGAGCTGGGGGACGATAAACAATGGATTCTAATAGGGCCGGTGATGGTAATTGCATGCAATTTATAGAGTTATTGTCACACGGAGATGCTAGAGGATTAAGTTTACATTCATTGGAGATGAGTAGACCCCTTCCGGTCAGACAAGGGGTGTGTGAGAAAGTCATGAGGTTGAGATCAGAATGACTAGCAGTAGATGTCATGAAGCAGAGACCAAGAGGAAATGAAATAATGTACTAGAGGACGTTGGGAAAGTATGTAGGTCATTACGATTGGTCCGCCTCCACCGTGTGGTGTGATTTACGAGTGTTGGTAATAGTAGGGATTTGGAAGCACATGGTAAAGCAAGGTCACCAACAGATAACAGCAAAGATTTATAAAAGAGGAAGGGAAGGAAAACGCATACGATTCGCTGGTCTTTACACGATTCATCTTCATCATTTTAGTTTTT